CCTATTTTGGTCATGTTGTAAGAAGGGACCATTCCCTGGAGAAGGATGTCATGCTTGGTAGGGTGGAGGGTCGACGAAAGAGGGGGAGGCCTTCAACAAGATGGATTGACATGGTGGCTGCAATGATGGGTTCAAGTATAGCAGGGATTGTGGGGCTGGTGAGGGATCGGGCAGTGTTTCGTTCTGCTGTGCGTGGGGTTGCTATGAGTCGGAAACGACTCGACTGCATAACAACAACAACAATAATATGGGAAAAAGGAAATTTATTTATTTATATATGGACAGGCTTTATTATTTATTTGTGACCATTTTACATACATAATTACACCTCACTTAGTGTTATGTTTTTATACTGTTATATCACGAAGTACACTTTGTAAAATTATTTTGGAAACCAGCCTTATTGTTCTGAAAAATATTATTTGTACTTTTTTTAAAAAACTGAAATTTTTCAGAAGGAAAAGAATATTCCCCACATTTTCCCACATCTGTGGAAGTCTCTTAAATGTATGTGTACATGTGGGTACAAATTTATGTAAGTGCATTTACACTGTAGCAGTTTGCCATCTTCTGCTGTATTGTGTCCTCTGCATCTTCCCATTTCACTGAATAATGACGCCTGTCTTCATTCATAACATCTTCATGTCCTGTTGTATGGCTGTTTTTGTAGTTACTGCTCATCTATTGAGAAAAATGGATTGCTAGGAGGTGAGACAGGGGAATGGTATTCCATGAGCAATGAGGAGGCCCAGGTTAGACGTGCAAGGTGACATCAGGAGGGACCTTAGGCTGGATGACTGGGGAAGGTGGTAGGTTGGGTGCCTGCTTTCCAAGTGTTCTTACGACTCTAAGGTGGAGTTCTAATACATGTAGAATTGCAGTAGTGACCTTGGTGTAGGCCAGGGGCTGATCTGTTCGAGCTAGAGGGTCAAAGGAAGCATTGCAGAGCAGATGAGCTTGGAAAGGTGTGGGCAGTTGGGAGGGTAGAAGAGAAGAAGGGGCAGTTCAGGGAGAACTTGAATCTCAGCCATGATAATCCTGTCTTTGAGCAGTGGGGATGCAACCTGAGGCCTGCTGAGTGCAAGACTGCTTTGCTTGGTGGAAGGGGGTAAGGTGGTTAAGATGCCCCCCTGCTTACCACATGAGTCTCTCATAATTGTGTGTTCTAGAGGGGGAACTGCTGTTGGTGCAGGTCAGACTCACTCTTGCCCTCCTCCTTTAGCCACCATTTTATCTTGGGAGGGAAGATCCTGGGGTTTTTATGCCCTGGGAGGTAACGGGACCCAGTCCCTGTAGGAAGGCTCAGCATCACTCGACTGCCTTTATTTCCCTTATATCTCAGACATCTGTGGTTGTCTTCCTTCTCTGAATTCTCTTCTTTCTAACCTTTGCACCTTGCAGACGTCTGTACCTCCACAGCTCTCTCCTCAGACTGACTGTGGCTGCCAGGCCGAGGTCCTCCTCACTGAGTAGTCTGAGTTTGGCTGACAGGGCTCCTTCTGCCCATCCCCTGGTGCCTTTGGGGCAGGGTGGATGCCTTCCAGGCAGCAACATGTGTGTGTGGTCCTCCAAATGATTCTGCAGGCCTGCCCTGTTGTTGTCGTTGTTATGTGCCGTCGAGTCGGACCCGACTCATAGCGACCCCTCCTTGGATTTCCGAAGCAGTATCACTACGGAAGTAGATTGCCCCATCTTCCTTCCGAGGAGTGGCTGGTGGGTTTGAACCTCCAGCCTTCTTGTTAGCAGTCAAGTGCTTTAGGCACTACGCTACCAGAGCTCCCGCAGGCCTGCCCTAACCCTTTTCTAAAGGCCTGGTTTGCAGCTGCTTCATTGCCACGATCACTTTGCAGCCCCCTGGGTAGCCAGTAAATAGAAAAGCTGATATTGTCTGCTGTCTCTCCTTGCGTGAACATTATCCCAGAAGCTTTCTTTTCCTCAGAGGGGGTCTTGCGACCATACTGAGGTTTGTAAAGTGCATATTGTATGAGGCATATCCGTTCACCTGATGGGAATCCGAGTGTTTCTTACCTGCGTGTATCCATGTTGTTAGCTTACATGACCATTCTTCTTTCTTTGGGACTGTGCGCTTTGGGATCCGTCTGGGGGTACCATGTTTACATTGATGAGGGTGCAGGGATGTGTTCTCCTTTGTCATAGGCAGGATTGGTAATGATGTTCTCACCGAGATATGCTTATTACGCAACATCCAGTGGTCCAATGGCCTTTTCTGCGTAGCCTAATTGCATGCCTGGCAGTAAGCTTTGCCCTGAGCTTTTCCCTTGGGTCTGAGGTCTGAAACCTGCTACTCCTTTCCAGGCCTTATGTGGAAGAACCGCGCCATGTTAAGGTGCAGAAGGGCTCGGAGCCATTGGGGATCTCCATTGTAAGTGGAGAGAAGGGCGGTATCTACGTCTCCAAGGTGACCAGTGGAAGCATCGCTCACCAGGCTGGCCTTGAGTACGGAGACCAGTTACTCGAGGTAAGAGGGAGCTGACCTCTTCATCAAGTTCACGGACATGCCTGCCTGTCTTCCCTTCCCTCTTTTCTCCTTTCATTCTTCCCTTGGGAAAGCTGTACTCCCCAAACCCCCAGAGCCTCCTTCTTGCCCACACCACCCAGCCCTCCCCTAGCCCCTACCACATCACTGAGTCTCTTGTGGGTGTGTCTGCAGTTCAACGGCATCAACCTGCGGAGCGCCACAGAGCAGCAGGCCCGGCTTATCATTGGGCAGCAGTGTGACACCATCACCATCCTGGCCCAGTACAACCCACACATGCACCAGCTCAGCAACCACTCCCGGTCCAGGTGAAGGCGGGGTGGGGGGTGACAAATGGGTGGGGCAGAGTGTTGCTCATGGAGATAGGGGAGGAGATCTGAGGTGTCAGCTACAAGTTCTGGGGATTCTGCTGCTGGAGTGTTGACTGGCCCTGGGGTTTGGGCAACAGGCACATAGAGGGGGAATGTATCCTCCTAGAATAGGGTATGGAAGCAGGTGGCCGACCCAGCACAAGGCTTCATGCATGGATGTGTGTTAGCCAGAAACCAAGGCCCTTGGGGCAGGATTCTTACAGAGTGGTCAGGCCCAGTCACTATCCGTGCACAAACATGAGATTCCTGTTGCCACCCCCCTCCCCCCGGCCCTGTACCATGGGTTAGGGGCATATGGGAGAAGGACAGACATAGCCCTGTAGGGCAGCACCTCACAGCTCAATGGAGACAGGATTTGCAAACAGTCACCCAGGAGCTTTAGACAGTAGGCCAGAGACCTTTGAGAGGATCCAGAGTGGAAGACACAGAGGGGCCTGAATAGGCAGGAGGAATGGACCAGCAGTTCCTGTGGGTGGATGAGACATCCGCTTCTATTCAGGGGTCCAGCATTTTATGGACCTGTTTCCCCTATCCCCTCAACAGCCCAAACCTGCTTCCCAGAGGAGAGGGCGTGGCTCTGACCTTATCCTTCCTGCCCTTCTCTAGTTCCCACCTGGACCCTGCCGGCAACCACTGTACTCTGCAGGGCAGCGGCACTACCACCCCAGAGCACGCCTCCGTCATTGACCCACTGATGGAGCAGGACGAGGCCCCAGGCACTCTTCCGGCCAAGCAGAGCACATCCAGCACCAGGTCAGCCAAGGAGCACTGAAGCCTTCACTGTCCACAGGCCTAGTACATCCTCCTGCTCTCCTCACTTTGTTCTGCTTCAGAAAATGTAGACGTGGCCTCACTGTCCAGAACACTATTCATTCAGCAAATGTTTATTGAGCAGGAACTGCAAAGAGATGGCCCCTTGCCATCAAAGCCTGGAAAAGAGTTGATGGTTTTGGGACTCAGACCCAAAGGAAAGGCTCGGGAAGAATTTATGGTCCGACATGCAACTAGGCTATACAGAAAATACCTTGGAGCATAGGATGCTTCAGTAATGAGCACAGCTAGACAGGAACATGATGGGGATAGCAGGTCACGGGCCCCAGGCAGCCCCCAGCATCCTGTGCCACAGGCCACACAGCAGTTCTTCAGAGTCCGGATGGGGCTGGACCATGCTGTCACTCAAGGGCCTGCTCTGTGCCGGGCCTAAGGCACCAAACCCTCACAGTGCTGCTTGCCCTCAGAGGTGATAGTGCCCGGGGGTACACAGAGGAACTGCTGTGAGGACACTACAGGCCAAGAAGCAGCTAGAAGAGTAGGGAGGGGCAAGATCGACCCTAAAGCATCAGAAGTCAGCCCTGTGGAGAGTGAGCTTGCACAGCAGGTGGGCTGGGCGGGTTCCCCTGCACAGTGGGGCCTATGGGAAAGTCTGAGCTTTGCCCAGAAAGTGGTCAGCTCTGTATTCATTGAACCAGGACCAGTTCATTAAAACATCAAAAAAACCCAAACTCACTGCCGTAGAGTCTGATCCAACTCATAGCGACCCCTTCTTGGGTTTCTGAAGTGGTATCACTACAGAAGTAGATTGCCCAACCTTCCTTCCGAGGAGTGGCTGGTGGGTTTGAACCGCCAGCCCTCTGGTTAGCAGTCTGTTGCCTTAGGCACTATGCCACCAGAGCTCCTACATTGGAACATACCAGCAGTAAAATTTTAATCACAGGTTGCCTTCTCCCTGAGGTTCCTTTTTCAGTCTCCATCGCTGCCCCTGTTTCTTTCATTCTGCTTATTTTTCCTCTCTAGATTGCCAGTTCCTTGATGGCAAGGCCATCTTGACAGTTCCTGGCCTATCTAAGCTGCTCAGTAAACATTTGCTGAGTGAATTGTGCTACTGCACAGTGAGGCCAAGTCTAACTTTTCTTTTTTTTTTTTTAACCTACAGTTTATTTATTTATTTTTATTTTATTATTTTTTAAAATTAATTAATTTATTTATTTTTATTTCGGTGA